GGTGGTAGTAGAGGTAGTAGTAAAGGTAGTTGTGGTGGTAGTAAAGGTAGTTGTGGTAGTAGAGGTCGTGGTGGTGGTAGTAAAGGTAGTGGTGGTGGTAGTAAAGGTAGTGGTGGTGGTAGTAAAGGTAGTTGTGGTGGTAGTAAAGGTAGATAAACCAGTTTCCTCCATTAGTTCAGTCTTTGTCAGCACTAGTTGGTCTTTTTGTCTTACTAGTTAAACATAAACTCTACAAGTTAACTAGTAAGGTCGAGATAGACAAGAACTAGTTAACTAGTTGACTTATTAACATGCGGCCACTAGTTACAGGTCCTCCATGTCTACAAGTATTCAAATGAAGCAGTCAGGATAATGACCAAATGCTGAGTCCTGATTGGTTGGTTTTTTGTATTTTGAACTGGAGGGCCAATAGGAACCCTCGAATAACCCATCTTATCATCAGCAGCATTCCTGCTTTCACTGGTTCCACTAGAGGAGTACATGCCTTCCATGAGGTAGTACTGCTGGTAGTATTTGTAGTATGAGTGCCTGGTGTACCTGGTGAAGCACATGACCACGGCGACGATGACTGCGATCTGAACTGCTCCGATGATGGCGGCGATGAGGACGTAGTGCAGCTTCTGACCGCTGGGCACCACGTACAGGATGTTAAAGTCCAGCAGCTGATCACACTGATCCCCCCCGTACGCCGTGTCACACCTGAGACACACACATGTAATACTCCAAGTGAGCCGCAAAAACACTTTATGGCCTTTACAGACATGCTTTTTCTATGACTTTTTTCATAAATGTTTTCGACACGCTATACTATGACTTGAGTGCGGTATTAGTATTTTATACTGTAACAGAGTACTTCCAGTGTGGTATTAGTATTTGTAATGATTCTCTCTCCATCACTCATGTGAAATGGGCTAAAAAAGTGCGAGTGGCCTAAAATAAAGTTTGAATTGAAGGACTCTGATTGGTCGAAGGCGGGAGGAGGAGCCAGGTGTTACCTGCAGGTGGGAAGGTTGTGTCTCATCTCACATTCGCCGTGTTCACAGAACTGGGCGTAGTCTTCAGGACAGGAGGCGGGGCTGTCCACAAACCCCTCCCCCTCACCAGACTTGGACACAGCTAGAAAAAAAAGAAAAACTCTCGTTTCTGATTGGCTGTTACAGAGATACAGTGTGTGTGTGTGTGTGTGTGTGTGTGTGTGTGTGTGGGGGGGTCTTACTGTAGATGTCTGGTTTGGTCTTCATGCTGTCGTCCTTCCTACTTTTATCTGAAACCACAGAAGAAGAAAGAGGCGTTTATGTGATGTGTTTTTCACACTTTTAATAACACTTAAATAAACTTTAGTTCAAAGGTTTCTTCCTCTTTTGTTTCCTCCTCCCCCACCTCCTCCTCCTCCCTCTCCTCTTTCCTCTCCTCCTCCCCCACCTCCTCCTCCTCCCTCTCCTCTTTCCTCTCCTCCTCCCCCACCTCCTCCTCCTCCTCCTCCCTCTCCTCTTTCCTCTCCTCCTCCCTCTTCCTCCTCTCCTCCTCCTCTTCCTCCTCCCTCTTCCTCCTCTCCTCCATCGTCCTCCTCCCTCTATTCCTCCTCCC